TTTTTTTTATAAATCATGTGCATGTATAACATAATATTAAATAATAGTTAAAATATTTATACAAAAATTAACAAATATCATTAATTCTTCCTATTAGTAAAATAGTTGAAACAAAATATAATGTAATAAAAAAAGTCATACTTAATCCAAATTATTATTAAAATTTTTTTCAATATATAGATAATTTTATTAAAATAATTTGCATTTCTTGATAATAATGGTATGAATATTTAAAAAAAAAAAAAAAAAAAAATATCACAGAATAAAGAATTAATATCAATAGAAGAAATTAAATATTTAGAATTATTTATGTAAAAAAAAAAAAATTTGTATAATATATAAAATTAGTAAAAAATTAAGTAAAAATCTCTGTAATATAATAAATATATATAGATGATATAAAATGATGAATGCTCAAAAGTGTGTTTTTAATAAAGAAAAAAAAATTATCACTAAAGCACATTGTAAAAATAGTTTTAAAAATATTTATAATTTTTTACCAAATTTGTTATTTTCCTTTTTATATATACAATAGTGTTTTTTAATTTTAAATAAATTTATGTAATAAGAGAAAAATGTTTGCATGAATTAGAAATATAACAATAATTTTATATACAAAAAGCTAATGCTTTATTTAAGAATTTTTATCATTATAATGTTTCTGTATATATATCATTAAGAAATAGTGTTTTTTTTTGAAAAAAATATGTGAAGAATTCAATTATGCAAAAAAGAATTCTTCACATTTTTATTGAAGCTCATTTATTATATTAATGTATTATAAATAACAAGAATGCAATAGTCTAATATTTTAGTTAAATATATTTAGTTATTATAATGTAAAGATATTTTTTTGTGATGTTCACATATGTTGGATTGTGGAAGTTTGTGTTAAAATATAATATTAAAAATTAATGGCTTAACTATGAATTAAAGTGGCAAAAATATAATTTAATTAAGAATCTCTTAATATATTCATTTTAAGAATATAAATTTTTTTCATGTATAAATTAAAAATATTTAATACACGCTTTATAATATTTCATATGTTTTATATATTTTATATATTTTAAAAATTTATATTATTGTGATTCATAATTATTTTATAAAAATATTTTTATGAAAAAAATAAATTGTCATCTTTGTTTTGTATTTTTTTATTAAAAATTAAATATATATATAATTTTTGACTTGGATAAGACATATTATGGTTTATTAATTGGGTGTTTGATGACTTTTCTATAGTATTGAAAAAACAAATTAAAAAAGAGCATGTACAGTTGCCTCTACGGTTTTTATGTATTTATATATATTTTCAAAAGCTTTGAAGGAGTGATCCTTAATTATGTAATCTATTTTAATCAGCATTACATAATTTCAATAGGAATTTATTAACTTTAATAAAAATCCTTATTTTTATTAAAAATTTAAATACTTATTTAACAATAATTATTAATTAATGTAAATTACTAGTTTATTTATTATGAGTTACATTCAGCAATTAATATATATTGCTGTTGAATTAACAAACATAAACAATTATTTACAAATATCAAAAATTATACAAACATTAATTACATGAAAATTTTATTGTTATATGTATAAAATTTTCTTTTACAAAATTTATCACAAAAATTATTTCATTTCCTTCCCCAAAAAAAAAAAAATTCTATTTTTCTTTTATTTTTTAATTTATTTATTAATAACAAATATTTTTCCAAATGATTTTTTTTTTTTTCAATTTTTTTCCTGACAATCATTGTACTTTTTTTTTAAAAAATGTACAAACAAAAAAAAATTGATCATCAATTTTTTTTTTGTTTTTGCATGACAAACTTCGTATTCTTCATTTAACTAGTTCTTTTATTTTCCAAAAGGGTTAATAAATCCTTTATTAACCGTAATCCACCACCATGGGAAAGCAATGGTTATTAATTAAAGTTTGCTATTTTTGTATTGTTTTATTTCATCAATACCTTTTTGTACTCCTTTTTCAATTTGCTTGTCCTGATTATCGTTGATATCACACATTATGATACTACTCCGTTTATGAATATCTAGGTAATCCTTAGACTTTAAATCATGCGTCAGATTTAAATTCCTTTTATTTTTATTCGTAACTTGTATTAAATTGTGCAGTTGCCTTTAATATATTTCCCTGGTTTTGTTACTCAAGAATTTTATTTTTGACATTGGAATTTGTACTTCTTTACCTCTATAATATATAAGTAATGCTTTCAGAATTCCGCTTTCAATTTTAGTTATTCTATGAGGATATGAACAATATGGTTTATATTGTATATTCTCACTATAGTGTTTCATTTTATTCATTTCGTATTCCTATAATTCGTATGAGATAATATCTCCAACCATAATATTTTTATTCTCAATTATAGGTTTTCTTTTGATTTCATCAGCATCTTCATGTATGTTTTTCCATCTATCGTTTAAGTACATAATCCTCATTTCAGAAGTTTTTTCTGGTACTAATTTTGCATCCCTAGACAGATACAATCTCTTCCAAACATAGCAGAATATGGTGTTTCTCCTATAGCTCCATGAGGTGTATTATTATATATTAGTACAGGATTGTGTTCTATTTCTTCAAAAGGTAGATCTTTTTCTTCATATAAAGTCTTAATGATATAATCTAAGCTTTTGTGAGAGCTTTCATTTATGTTGTTTCCTTGTGGATAATATGAGCTGGTATGATACAATTTAACCTGTAATTCTTGTGTATCATAGTCATGAAATTCTTGACTAGTATAAATTGAACCGCGATCTGTTAAAATGCTTATAGGGCATCCAAATATGGGTATCCATGTTTTCTTTATAATGTTAATTGCTTCCATAATATTAGGTGTTTTATTAGTTATATTAGTAACCATAAAATGTGAATGATGTTCTATTGCTACCTGTATATAGTATTCTGTACCTTTTGATGTTTTAGGTCCTATAATATCTAATGAAACCATATCAAATACATTTGGTTTTGATAAAGCTTGATTACTATTGGGTTTTTGAATTTCCGATTACGCATTACTTGAAAAATCAGACAATTTATTATGTATTCTTCAATATCTATACTAATACTGGGCCACCAAAAATGTTTTGGTAATTTTTTTAGTGTTTTATTTATTTCCCAATGTCCTGCGGATTTAATACTATGAAACCAATATATTAAATGATTTCTATATTTTTCTGATATATATAATCCTCATGTCCTATAGTGAAATGGGAAATCACGTTTCCATACTACGTTTCTTGGCAAGTTATCTTTATCTTTTTTTGCTTCATTTGCAATTTCCTCGCAAGATGGTATGATGCATAAATCTTCATATACTCCTTGAGGTTTACTACAATATAAGGTCATGTAATTAGTAAGATCTGTTTCATCTTCTATTGATCTAGTGATCCAATCAGCTAAACTATTTTGAACTCCTTCAATATGTTCAAATTCTAAGTTAAATTCACATAGTCATAACTTCCATCGATATAATTTTCCAGTATTAATTGAATCCATTCCAATAATACCTTTACAATATGTTTTAATTAAGGTCTTAGTTCCTTTAATATAATAATAGAATGTTTCGCGTGCTACTACTATAGCAAATAATTCTTTTTCAACAGTACTCCATTATTGTTGTACTTCATTTAATTTCTTAGATGTGTAATGAATGAATTTAGTTTGATCTGTGTCCTTATCAATTTGAGTAAATACAACTTCTATAGTATAATCTGATGCGTCAGTATAAATAGTATAGGGTTTTCCTAATTCTGGAAATGAAAGATAAGTTATTTTCCTTCATTTTATTGCTGATTTGCTGCAAAGCCTTTGAATGCTCTTCCTTCCATTCAAATTTCTGTTTCTTAGTTAACAATGGAACTAGTTTATAAGTCAACTCTGATATGTTCTTAATATAATTCCTGTAATAATTAGTAGCTCCTAAGAATGATCTTAATTGGTTTTTAGATTTAGGATGTACTGCCTCAATAATTGTTTTCAACTTATCTAATGAAGGTCTTATACCATTTCGATCTATCTCTTGCCCAAGATAAGTTATAGATGTTTTAAAAAGTTCACACTTTTCTGTATTTATTCCTAAATTATTATTACAGAGTAATTCACATACTCGTTTTAATACTTCTATGTGTTCAAATAGTGTTTTTGTAAGAATGATGATGTCATCAATGTATACAACGACATAATTCTCTTGAATTAATTTCATAAAAATATCTTCCATTATTCTTTGAAATTGTGTAGGACTTGTTTTTAGTCCAAATAGCAATACGTTAAATACAAATGTTCCCCTCTTAGGAACTATAAATCCAGTATATGGTTTACTACTTTCCTTCAATGCGATATTCCAAAATCCATTTTTAAGGTCTATTTTCGAAAACAATTTTGTTCCATGAAACGTTTATAATATGTGTTTCATATGTGGGATGTCATATAAATCATCTAGTATAAATTTATTTAAATACCGATAATCTATCGTGAGTCTCCATTGACCTGTTTTCTTCCGAACCTTTACTATTGATGAGGTCCAATTTGCATTAATGACTTTACTTATTACTTTTAATTTTATCATTTCATCTATTTTTCGGTGTAATTTTGATAACATTTCTTCACTCAATTGTCTAGGGTTATAACGCCGAGGTTTCCCCTGTACCTGAGTAGAAACTTTGTATTTGTTGTTGGGTTCCATGATTTTACTTTACCAGAGTCTTGTATTATTTCTTAATACTTTTTCCATCTCTTCTTTATTTTTCTAATTACTGCTAATGCTTGTTCTAATTGATCATGTAATAAATTTTCACCATATTTCTTGTCAAAATATAAATTTTTTTTTTTAATAATTCTCTTTCATTTAACATATCTATTCTTTTTGTTAATGAAATTTGATGACGTTCTTTCACAAGCTGATGTCTTATTGTAGTTAAAATGAAACGCAAAACAGTAATTTTAATAGGATTTCCGATAGTACTTTGACTCTTTGTAAATTTTTCATCATTTTTTATTTTCCCTTAATGAATTATATTTAGAATATCTAAATTTATTTAATAATTTGTTTATTTTACCTAATTTACTTATCTATTTTAACATTATCAACTTCTAATGCTGAATGTACTGCTAATATTTATACAATTAATATGAAATTAAAAAAAAAAAAACAATATAAAAATTTTCATCCTGAGATAAGAGGTAAATAAAAAATAATGATTTTCTCTCTGATTTAGTTTATTTCAAAACTTTACGTTGAAAACTTATGAAGGAGATAAAACATTTTTATATTATGAATAAACAATTTAAAGAAAAATAATATTTCTTATAATTGGCAAATAAATTTTTTTTAACATACTTGCGATTTATTTCCTATTCAATTTATTTTTTTTCTTAATTTATTATGATATAGGATAATATTTTAAAAAGAATAATGAAAGTATTTCTTTTTCATTATCTTTAATAAATACAAAGCATTTATACTATATGCATTATTCACAATTAAATAGAACAAAAAATATTTAATAATAATATAAAAATAAAAAAAATTTTTAATTTGAATGTTCCGCTAAAATTCTTAATTATGCATGAGTTGCACATATAATTAATTGTTGCATACTTTTTACTTTATTAAAAAATTTTATATACTTTTATATTTCATCATCGTATTGATATATTATGATTTAATAATATATCATTAAAATTTTACATTTATAATTTTTCTTATAATTTTATATCTAATTATATATATATTACTACTATTTCCTTTAATATATACAATTGAAGGTAAAAATATTTAATTAAAAATTACATAATTTTTTTGCATTTTACTTGACTTATTTGATAGGTTATTTTCTTATCATATATGAATCTAAAAACTACATGATTTTCTTATTCTAAAAATATATTTAGTATCATTTAAAGAAAAATTTAATTAATATAAATTTAAATACTAAAATATGCATTAAAATGGATATTTTTATTTATCTATATAACGTGGTTAATTTAATTATTTTTAACATTCCATTTGATTTACTATTCTAACAAAAGAAACATTCTTTTAAAAAATTTTTATTTAATCCATAGGGTGATTCCTATAAAATTTTAATTGATAAAAATAGGTTGCAAATTAAAAATGAGTTAAAATATGAAAGAGTATTAACAGAGGGTGATATAGGAGGAAAAAAGCAAAGTTACGGTGAAGAATGCCTAGAAGAATGTCCATTGGATAATAAAAAAAACAAATGGGAAAATCCAGTTCGATACGAGAATCCGTACGATAATTGGAATAAAGTCATTACTCCATTTTTGCGGGAGGAATTTAATAAAGAAACAGGCGGAATGGACCCTGAATGGAGAGAACAAAAATGGAATAATGAATGGAATAATATTTCAGCGAACAAAGTTAATGAATTATCTTCAATATATATGCGAAGTATTCCAAAAAAAGATAAAGAAAAATTAATTTGTTGTGTTGAGCAGAAACTCTTCACACTATTTGTGGAATTTTTAGACAAATGTAAGAAAGAGATGAGAGACAATAAAACAGAATCCGAATCTAAGAAAGAAAAATTAAAAAAAATTTTGCATTTGGAGAAATTATATTTTACAATTATAAAAGAAATAATAATTAAAAATATAACTTAGTATAATGTAAGTTANGAATATATTTTAATTATAATATTACGAATAATGTTTAGTAGCTCAAACCCGATGTTTTCTTGTTAACAAGCATAAATAATTAATGAAATACCTATTAAATTATATATTAATACTTCTATGTGTTCAAATAGTGTTTTTGTAAGAATGATGATGTCATCAATGTATACAACGACATAATTCTCTTGAATTAATTTCATAAAAATATCTTCCATTATTCTTTGAAATTGTGTAGGACTTGTTTTTAGTCCAAATAGCAATACGTTAAATACAAATGTTCCCCTCTTAGGAACTATAAATCCAGTATATGGTTTACTACTTTCCTTCAATGCGATATTCCAAAATCCATTTTTAAGGTCTATTTTCGAAAACAATTTTGTTCCATGAAACGTTTATAATATGTGTTTCATATGTGGGATGTCATATAAATCATCTAGTATAAATTTATTTAAATACCGATAATCTATCGTGAGTCTCCATTGACCTGTTTTCTTCCGAACCTTTACTATTGATGAGGTCCAATTTGCATTAATGACTTTACTTATTACTTTTAATTTTATCATTTCATCTATTTTTCGGTGTAATTTTGATAACATTTCTTCACTCAATTGTCTAGGGTTATAACGCCGAGGTTTCCCCTGTACCTGAGTAGAAACTTTGTATTTGTTGTTGGGTTCCATGATTTTACTTTACCAGAGTCTTGTATTATTTCTTAATACTTTTTCCATCTCTTCTTTATTTTTCTGATCTTTTAAGTAAGATCCTTCAATATAATTCTGAATAAATTCTTTATTCGAATTCTCTAATTCATCCTCCCTTACTTCGGGTTTAACTTCCATGATATACATATGTTGATCTTTTTTTTTTACGATGGAATATCCTAATTCGTCATTACTAAACCGTTAAGTAATATCAGGGGTTTATCTGTTTTTATTATTGCAAATCTGGTTAATACCTACATATTTGTAGATTTCATAAATATTTTCATCTTTTTAGATTTCATTGCAATATCTACGCTATATATTCCACAAAACGTGATTGGTTGTATTGACGTATCTGGTTCTATACCTAGTTCTTTAGCTGAAACCGTTGATACAGTACATAAATCTACTCCTTTATCTAATAGTACATTGACGTTATGTCCGTTCATTTCTACTGTTCATTAAGCATTCGTATATCGTCCTTTTTCGCTTCCAATTTCTATGGTCCTATTAACAGATGATTCACTTTCGGCTGAGTCTGTTACACATTCATCGGATTTTCTTTTTGTCTTTCCAGGTTTTCCAATTGTTTATTAAGGTATTTTTGCATTTGAAGGATTTTCTGTGGATTAGTTTCATTTTTGTTCATTTTATAATTTAAATAATATCTATTATCTATTATTATACCTTTGATTTCATCTTCTTTATCTCGAATCGCTTTATTCCTACATACTGATGCCAAAGGTCTTATCATATTACAAATACTACATCTTTTTCTTCTATGTATACAATCCTTTTTAAGATGTCCTTTTTCTCCGCAACAGTAACATTTATTAAATATTTTGTCTTTCCTTTCTGAATATCCATCCTTATTTCTATTTACTGTCCTTATATCCAAGTTTTTATGATTATTTTCTTCTTTGCACATGTCTTCTAATGCTAACATTGTTGATATTACATCCATAAATTCTTTATTCTTAGATAATTTAATAGGTGCTTTTACTAAACAATTAAATGGGATTCGCAATCTAAAAAATCTCCTTAAATCGTCAATATTATATCCGTTTGTTTCATCAAAACATAAATAACCATCCACATATTTCTTACAGCCTTCATTGAACGGATTCATAGCATCAAGTACACTGTTCCTCCTATCTACAAATAATAGTTTTCTCATATGTTTGATATGCTCATCACCATTTTTAAATATATGCTTCAAGAATTTTATCTTTATCTGTGACATTTCCGTTATTTCCTCATCGCAATACAACTCTGTTATCCATCCTAAATAAGATGCTGGTAATAAAGATTCCATTATCATGCATGTGTCAATTTTGGTTAATTTTCTCATTTTAACTCTGTTTTCAAGCTCGTCAAATTATTTAGAGTATTTTTCAAACGAAGCCTCTTCCAATTTTGATAATCCTTTTGGTATCTTTACTTTAGTGCTCTCAAAATCTCCATTTGTTCGGAATATATAAGACATTTTAGTCGTTATAATACTTTTGAACACGTCTAATACTAACTTATCTTCTTCTTTATCCATTGTTAAAAATCTGCTAATCCAATGAGGGTTCTGTGTGTGCTGGTTTTGGATTTTCCTGCCGTTATCTCCAATTGGTTTATTAGCTATTTATTCGGTGACTTTTCTAGAGTACTGAAAAACATATTATTAAAGATCATGTAGAGTTGCCTCTACCGTTTTGATGTATTTATATATATTTTTAAATGCTTTGAAAGAGTGATCCTTAATTATGTAATCTACTTCATTCAACATTCTTTAATTTCAATAGGCATTTATTTACTTTAATAAAAATCCTTATTTTTATAAAAAATTTAAATACTTATTGAATATTGATTATTAATTAATTGTAAATTACTTGTTTATTTGTTATGAGTTACATTAAACAATTAATATATATTGCTGTTGAATTAACAAACATAAACAATTAGTAAAAATGCAAATTAATTTTATGAATATTAATTAGGTGAAATTTTATTGTTATATGTATAAAATTTTCTCTTACAAAATTCATCAAAATCACATTTCATTACCCAAAAAAAAAAATTTTTTTTTTTTTTTTATCAATTTTTTTTCCTGGTAGTCCTTGTACTTTTTTTTTAAAAAAGGTACAAAAAAAAAAAAATTGATCATCATTCTTTTTTTTTTTTTGTGTATGCATGACCAACCTCGTATTATTCATTTAACTACTCCGTTTATTTTCCAAAAAGGTTAATAAAGCCTTTTATTAACCACAAAGTCACCGAATACGCAATTAATAAATCAAGGACTAGTGATATATCACAAAGGTGCTAGGTTATCATTTTATATAGTAAAAAAAAAACTATTGATACAGAGAAGCCT